GCGGGTTTTAGCACAAGAGCTGATGAAAAAATGCACTTTGCACAAAGAACTTATTCATTCTTGTGGTTCTTGGGGAATTCCATGATAAGTACACACAAAACAACAACGGGTCATCGTAAACAGTGACGAAAAAACTAGCCTGGAAAACCGGTTCCCCTGGTTTGAATGCCGCTCCCAGATGACGTTTGCTTTTGCGGTCCTCCGAGGTGTGCTGACCAACGATCCGGCGGGTGGATACGTTCATCAAATGTTCTCCCGATCGTACTGAGGGAGCAGGCGTACCTGATGGGCATCCGGCAGGTCACTGGATGTCCGCTTTGTTCCTAATTGTCATTTATGGGTACTCTGCATTAATTAATACCGCCTTAATTCTTCCGTTTGACACTAGTTTAATCAGCTCGGGAAGAGGAATTCCCTAAAAACTCACTAGGGTTGGTTTACTTTCATGAGCTGACAGCATAGATGTTTAGACATTCCAATCGTGGGCCGAACGGTGAGATCCTCATCTGTGGTGACTGCCGGTTTCCACTCGTGTTCCAACAGCGGTGACTTGGGTGAACCGGTTCTCGCGTCCCCAAACTGAAATATGGGCGTGGATTTCATTCGGACAAGGATTACATCATTCGTGTAGGATTCCTCCTAGTACGATCGTTTTCGGTCGATTCCCTCAAATTTCCAGATCGATTTTGCTACAACAAGCCAGGCTGAACGAGATTAGCCAATCAGCTTGAAGTTTGTGAAACCATGACACCGTTTCGAAATGAAGTGCGATAAGCTCCAAATCGGAAACGGCGCAAGCCACGAAAGATGAGTTCCACCATCGAGTTGACTTTCAATCAGCACACTAGCGCCAGACGACATTTAGTTTGTCCCAATTGTACTCTTGTTCACATCAACATCATCATCGACAGCAACAGTACACTGAGGCTTCTTTGCCGTACAACCATATCAATTTATTTGAATAAGGCCTCCTAATGAAACGAAGGAAGAAATGGGGCAGAGATGGGGACCTAGGGCTAACCCACCACAAACATCTGAGCTGTCTACATCTCCATCACCCGGTCAGACAATCTGGATAGAAACTGACGGTATAAGTCAGTTGTATCGGCCAGCCGCTGTATCGTTTAGTGCCTCCAGCCAAGCATGGAGATCTAAGCCTGGAAAGTGGACAACGCTCAAATTTTTCGTAACTTTTTTCATTTTACCACTGCGCAGCTGGTTCCTCTTTACAGATGCTGCATACACTAAAGTCGATCGGTCACAACAAAGTCGGCATGCTGCTCCGTAAATATAGGTGCGATTTTTGCGGACTTGTTTGTGAAGAAGACCTCAGGTTCAGACGGAGACCTCTATCAAAACGGACACTGGCTAGATTCCTCAATAAATCCTTTTGTCTTGTACTTCTAACGAAGTTTGTCCACTCTCCAAACAGACAATAACTGTGCGGTCCATTTCGTTTGACTGTTCAGTCTCTCAATGCCAGATACCTTCACTATTGATCTCAGTCTCTCCCTGTGTGAGTGAGTTCCACGTCTATAACCTACTTAGTTTTCTTTTAAAAAAAGGAAGAATTAGCTCAAACCCAAGTCAACAGTGAGCCTGCTTGCTCTCATTTCTAGGTTGACTGAACGGCGCACCTCACTCCTGGAACAAATTTCCAAATGCTTTTAAATAGTTCCCAAAATAATTAGAAAACTAATTGTTCTGTCCTGTCCCTTCGGTTGGTGAGAGTTTTATAACAGGATGGGAGAAACGTACTTCCGGTGTTTTCCCTAAAACAAACAGCGTTGTTGCGAACCGTATAACAGAATAGTGGGGTATCGAGTAAGCGAGTCAAACTTCTTCGGCTCCCTGTAGCGTTTCATTGCTACGGAATGTTCTCACGTAAATCAGTCGCATTTGATGTTTTATGTTACAATCGTTTTCAACTAAAGCATATTAATGCCAATAAAGACTCCTGGCATAGTTGATTGATCCGAGTTTGATTTATTGCCTTGTTGTTGAACCGAATTCCACATGGATCCCGCTTTACCGCTCGCATTTAGGCGCTGCTACGGCCGAGAAACCTATGCTGCACCATATTAGCCAAAAGTTTGGGACGTTGCCGGTCTGACATCAAGCCGAGATAGGATTGGTCGAAAGTCTGGAACCAACAGCCAATCATGACCCAGTATTGGCCGAATGCCGACTGCCAGTGACGCATCCAGAAGGCGTCAGAACTTCCAGAAAGTTGTCGACACTTACACTATATATGTGAAGCACTTTAAGTTATTCTTGACTTCGTTTTGGGCGTTAATATACCTTGTGTACCTTTGGCGGTTGTTTGACGTGAACGCTACCTTGGGAGGCTCGGACCGAGGACTAAGCTGAGGAAAATACCGTTACTTGGATTTTAATGTAGTTTTCCTAATTCACCATGCTTGACCTTCCCAACACGATGTTTAGGAAATCGCCCGTGCTCATGATCTCACAGATGGCTATAAGCCGGAACTCTCCAGACATGCTGCAACGGGCCCGTCTATTTTGGGCTGACTACTGGACACATTCAAGTAGTATGCGTGCGATATGGACTTAGCCCTCAAAGAGATTTGATGGGATTCTTTTCTGATATTCATCCCTGAAATTTTGATGCTAGGTTAATTTCTGTCCATACAAAACAGTGGAGCACACGCAGATTGATCACTTGTTATTTTGGGGTGACTACTAGTCCCACATTCAAGTGGTATGCACACAACTATGTGCCCCTACAGCTGAAAGTTTCAAGGTTTTACGTCCTAGCAAAGGACGAGAGATCGTTCAAAACACAGTACCCGCGTACGGTTTAAGCCACTGTTATGTGCGCTCACTTTACATAAATAGATTATAGAACAAAATTCTGTCAAAACAAAACAGGTGAGGACACGCAGATTGATCACTTGTTCTTTTTGGGGTGGCTACTAGTCCCACATTCAAGTAGTATGCACTCAAGTATGTGCCCCTGCAGCTGAAAGTTTCAAGGTTTTGCGTCCTAGCAAAGGACGACAGATCGTTCAAAACACAGTACCCACGTACGGTTTAAGCCACTGTTATGTGCGCTCACTGTACATAAATAGATGATAGAACAAAGATTCGACTGCCAAGGGGATTAAGATCCTCACGGTTTCGTCGACATGAAGCGCAGCTTTAGAAATTCTGTACAAATGTACAGTGCTTATTGCGGATTCGTAACAATACGTAGCTTAGTGCAATGTTTTATACAGTGCTACTTGAAAGTAAGAAATTTCCACCTGACGAGTAACCCAGAAGTTGGAGACAATTCCTTACAGACGTAGCTGTGCCAGTGCCCTCAACGAAAACAGTCGTTTCTTTGTAGGATACTTTCACACAAAAAGCACTGAAGAGGACAGTTTTTCTATTCAGTTTCTTCTGTTCGAATGCTTGTGGTAAGCTGGCACTAGGACCATTCCCCCTCCACCTTTACTCTTTTCTTTACAATAAGGCTTCCAAATAAATCATGGTTGTACGGCAGTGAACAATCGGTGTTGAATGCTGATGTCATGCTGTCTATGATGATGATGATGATGACGATGTGTCTGCC